CTCTCTGTTTTGCACCCTCAAAGCCTAGGTCCCAAGCGTCAGAAGGGACCCACAGAGAGAAGAGGGGGCAGTGATCCTGCCCAGTTTTTTTTTTTTCTTCCTTTTTTTAAGAGAAATTTTTGCTATAGGTTATGTGTGCTCACTAGAGAGACAGAGAGACAGAAAGAGAGAAATCAGCCCCCCTGGGGGGGGCTGGCAATGCCACAATCCCCTCTCCTCCATTCTCTTCTTAGGATTTTGGACACTCATGCACACATGTTGGGTGTGAGTTTAAAGCCACTGGTCTGGGACTCGAACTGTGGTCAACTATGTGGGAGTCCAGCAACATAACCATTATGCCATCTGTTGGTCCCCCCAGCCTTTTTTATTTATTTTTTTTAATAAAGATATTTTGTCATAGGGCACATGTGCTTACCAGAGAAACAGAAAATGAGACATCATCCCCTAGGGGGATGGCCATGCCACAGTCCCTTTTCCTCCAGTCTCCTCTTGGGATCTTGGGTGGCCACACATGCACATGCGCCCAGCATGAGTTTTAAGACATTGGGTCTGGGACTCGAACCACAGTTGACTACGTGGGAGCCCAGCAACATAACCATTAAGTCATCTGCTGGTCCCGATCCTGCCCAGCTTTATCCTGAGACTACATTTGCCCTCCTGTCCTCCTTACTGGCCATCCCAGAACGACTTCCACAGTCTCCAGCTGAGAACCCCTACGTGCCTAGGAGCTTTGGGGGGGACACAGAAATGAGAGGAATTGGGGGTCCTGACTTCACGGGTCAGATGTGCCCCCAGAAACTACCGTGTGTACCTCCCAAACAGCCCAGGGAACTACGCCGGGCTCCGAACACCACACAGCAGAGGGGCCTGGTAGTACCACATCAAGGTTCCAACATCACGAAGACCCAAGCTCAAATAAAGCTCTGGCCCTAGGGGCTGTGTGGTCTTGGGTAAATCATCTCACCTCTCTGAGCCTCTGTTTCATCATCTGAAAATGAAACGGTCATAGCACCTATCTCAGAGTTGCTGCTCGGCACAAGTCTCTGAGCTGCTGTGTTGCTGAGAAGCCGGCAGAAGGTGAGAGGTACAGTAGTGACCATTCTGACTCACCTCCACCCTAATCTCTGGATTCTCCTGCCAGCGGGAGTCTGAACTGGTGTAGAAACTTACGATTTATAAGCATTCTGCCTAACCCCATCACAGGGAGGCCTCACGGCAGCGATGCGGAATCAAGAGGAAGGAAATTCTTAATACTTCTGCTTTGCAGATGAACAAACTGGAGCTCAGAGAGGTTATGTGACATGCCTGAGGCCACACAGCCAGAAACTTAGAGCTGGACCAAAACCCAGAATAATCTTTCTCTCTGCCTTATGGTCCCTTTTCACTGCAGCCATTCAGAGGGGACACTGGGGGTTCTGTGGCCTGTGGGGAGCAAGACTTTCTGGAAGAATCTGATCCCGGCTAGGGATCTATGTTCCCACTTGTCAGCTGAGGTGAAGAATCCCTGCTCCTCCCTCCCAGGGTGAAGCCAGGTCCTCTCAGCTGAACTAAACCACTGTGTTCTGTGGACCTGGCCCTGGCAGGATGCCTGTAAACCTGGGCTCAAATACCTCTGTGGCTTGCACATCCCTCAGGCACAAACCAAGCTGAGAGCAGCAGAACAAGGCAGCAGAGGGCCTCGGAGTGATGAACAGGTGTCCTGCAGGCACCACAGAGACCCAGCTCCATCTGGGGCTACCACGCTCAGCAAGAATGACGCAGTCCCAGGCGGGAGGTTGGTCGCAAAAGCAGATTCAGTCACTGTTCAGCCGATATTATGGGACCAGGTCCTTGCAATGCTCCTGGTCCTTGCAATGCTCCCCCACCTCCCTGAAAGCCAGTGAGATGGTCTAGTGGGCCCTGGTTGCCAAGGGCTGAGCACCACAGTGAGCTAAATACCCAGAACAACTGTCCGATTTTGTTCAAAAGTCTCCTGTGTTCCTAAGGCCCCAGCAGGAACCCTGGCAGGGGAGGGGTCATGCCTAGCCAAATAAGCACAACCAAGCAGCAGAAACCTTGGCCTTCGTTTATTTATTTATTTATTTACCAGAACATCTCCAAGTACGCAGGAAGGAGGTGTTCATTCCCACAAGGCACCCCAAAGTAAATAGCATTTTTGTAAGGAACACTGGGGCAGTACTTGCGGAGTCCACTAGGTGGGGCCAGCGACACGGTGGAAAGAGCAGAACTGCATCTCCAGGAGGAAAGGCGGGGCGGGTAAGGGTGCAGCAGGCTGGATTCTTATCCCCAAGTTGGAGAAATGCTCCCCACCACTATGTTTCCTGGCCTCTAGCCAACAGCATAAAAATCAATCCTGGGGCCCCCAAGCACTTTAGTGGGAGGTGACTACTGCAGCAACTCTAGAGTCAGGGTCCTCAAACCAAGTTATTCCTTCATGTGCCACCGGGGGACACAGGCAGCCACAAGATGAAGTCCCTGCCCTGCAGCCTCACAGGGCCAGCAGGGACCTCTCCCTGTCATGCTGTGACTGCTCCAGGAGAGAAAGTACTCAGCAGCACCTGTCACTGGAGAACCTGAAAATCAATGGCCAAACACACCAGCAGCACGATCATGTGACAAGGGGAAGAAATGGGGACAAAGAGCAGGGGGACGAGGCAGAGAGGAAAGGGAAAATGGCCTGTACTGGGATCGTACGGGGTACCCTCCTGCACCTGCTCCCATCGAGTTAAGAGCTGGGCTCCCCAGGGGGTTCTCTGAGCCCGGCTGTGGTCTGAGACCTGAAGGCGGAAATGGAAAACCAGTATTTTCTCCTTGCTTTCCCCTGGCTGACCTCGGTTCAGGTCTCAGAACACTCTCTCCTCCCTCAGTTACAAAATCCCCTCCCTTGCGTGCTCAAGACAGCTGTCTTTAACTGACCACGCCTTCTTAAAATGACAGGGCAACGACACCCCAGAATGCCAGCTGTGGGCAGGGGACCTGAAGCTGACCGACACCCACGCCCATCCCCTCCACCTCCCACTGCCCCCCACCATCTCCTCCCTAACTTCCACTGCCAGGCAGCACGGAGCTGCCTCGGCCCTTGTTGCCATGGCAACAGTGTGGCTTCCCCCAAGTGAGAAGCCGGTTGCCAAGGCCCTTGTTGCCAAAGGCTATAACAGCCACCCCGGTGTGTGAAGAGGGGTGAGAGCTCTGTGGAGGGGTGGGGGGGTGGCACAGAGGCTGGCAAGGGAAGGAGCAGGGGGTTCTTGAGAAATGGTGGGGCTTGGACAGCCCCTCTCCGCAGGAGAGGACAGCAGTGCACACCCTCTCGGGCCTGCTCCCTGGGGACATTCGAGGGAGAAGGGGGGGGCCAGCACAAACC